CTATGATTATTTAGACACCACTGACATACGGTGAAGGTAAATATCGTGAGAAAACCTGGACTTATAATTTCTAATTATAAGTTTGAAATCGTCAACCCGCCTTGAGCAAGAGTGGTGATGAATGCTCAAACCTTCTGCGTGTAAGAAGAGGCCTTTGCTCAGCAGTGGGCACTTATACTTATTCATGAGAAGCAGATGCCTTTACCTTCTGTTTACGGAGAATGTAATTCTTAAAAGGCCAGCAACGCCCTTACGACTCGATTTGGTTTCTGGCTAATGAAACAATGACTTTATTTTTGCAAGTAGGCCATTAAATACCACGTCTACACATCAAAATTAAAAAATAGATGAAGCCAACATTTTCTATCGGACTACTCTGAGAAGAAATACTGAAACAAACTCAGAGGTCCTTCTCTTTTATTTTTTTCTTCCTTACACGGCGAAGTCTTTTTTTGAGAGGTTGTGGTGTCACTCCTTTATTTCGAATGAAAATAAAGAAAAAATACAATACATAAACTTGACTACGGCGCCGCAAAGCTGTTCTGGGGAAAGAAATACAAAAAAATCTACGTTAAAGTAATCGTTCGTTACAAAGGGGCTTTAGGGTCGTTTACACTTGATATATGAAACCAGAATAGGTACATTAATTTGATCATTAGGAGTACAAGAAATGTAATTGACTTTTCAAGTTACAAGACGCTGCTTAGACGAATGATCGCAAGTATAGATGATATAGAATAATAATGATACATACTTTAATTTAATTTTATTTTCATTTCTTTTTGTTATAATTATATAACTTTGCCCCACACTAGGATTTTCTCCTGTGTCGTGGGTGCGTTTACCAACATACAATTTCACATACAAATAACACCCAGACCCAAAACAACAATTTGTGGATCACACAAAGTGTTGTTCCGTGCGGGAAACGAACCCACGACACGTCGCACGACAGCCAGTTGCCCAGCCACCGTGCCAACCGTGCAGTCATAATGCACGGTTGGCACGGTGGCATGGTGTGCATATTGTAATGTCCATCTTACGTAATTTAACATAAAACATTAAACGCGTGGTTTTTACGGAATCAATTACATAGCTCATTCATTTTATAAAACTTGTAATATTAAGTCGGTATTTCGTAAAATAAATGAATAGAAGTGTGTTTATTTTTTATTATTTTATTGTCAAGTACCCAATTAGTGTCTTAATCGATTCTCTACGACGAGGCACCTGCGGCCGACGTTCCCGATTCAATATTTAATTCAAATCATTTTTTGATTAAATGTGCTGTCATGTACAAAAGTGTTTTTAATAAATGTGTAATTTTTGCTAGTATATATATATATGTAACATATATGCAGAAAGAATAGAGTGGACACCGACTGCTGACACAACATATCTTGTGTCACTCAAGCATTTATATTTACTGATTACAAGTATGCAGTATATAATCTAAATAACAAGTATGCACTATAATTTGAATAAGTGATTGCAGTAATGTTCACAGCACGCTCGAATGAATTCGGACTCTTTAGAGAGATCACGAATAAACCATCAGACCTTGAGTAATTAAATTAGACTCGTTTTAAACAGAATTACGAGTTCAGCGACTGAGCAATAAACACAGTCCCCGGCTAGGATGATAAGCTCCGTCTATTTTGTGTTTTTAACTTTGTTTCAGCAAATAATGTTCTCCCTATCTATGAATATAGTTGATTTTTTTTTTAAATTTACTAACTTGATTTAAAGTCGAATAATAAGAAACTATTGTGCTCTTAAAAGGTTTAAAACTTGTCCTTTTGTCTCTATAAGATTTTGATAGAGTTTACACATAAATAAATCCACCTGTTACTCCAACAAAGACAAAGGATGGCGCAAATCAGCCAACGAGCAATCACCACACGTTGTTTGGAGCACCTTCACCCGCCCTAGCACAAAGCGAAAAGGTTTTCTATCTCATAGACGCTTTATTCCATTATATTCGTTTAAGGCCGACTTGTTGTCAGCATCAGACACATTAAATACTACCTACAGTTCTCAGTAAGTCCTTTGAAAGTAGAATAAATTAGGTTACATCGGGACCGACATGTCCTAAATGAACAAAGAGTAAAAATGTGTACTTTTTTGTACTTATTTCTGTGTAGCGTGTGTTGGATGTAGGCTTGTCTACATTATATTTCATTTAAATGCTTAATCAGAACTTTTATGATTACATATCTTTGAGTAATTTGAACATTTTTCTGCTATATTATTAAAAACAGTCATATTTGAACTTGTATCATTATTAAAACTCTCTTGGTAAAAGCAGGCAAACATTTTCAATATTTCACTTAGTTATACCCTATTTAAAGCCTTTGTATAAGCCACAAGATGCTAATAGCTTTTTCCGTGAAACTTATCTGTCTAATATTATCGACTAGGCTACGCTAAAGCAACGGTATTCTCACACGATAGCGCTCGCTAGCTAGCTAACATAATTCCAGTTCGCTCTAGAATCAAAGCCAAAGCGATACATCCTGGTAAGTTACCCAAACAGGTAACGACTATCGATTTCGTAATACCGTCTCTAGAATTGGTTAAGAACAATTTATTTGTACAGCAGTAAGCCGCAAGCAGGTACCGGCGCCCAAGTAGATCAACTGCCAAAACCAGAGTCAGGCCCGCGGATATTACCGCGAGACATTTAATTTTCTACGTGAAAGGATAAGGCAACTAGAATTTCCTGGAGCATCCTGGGTCGCTCAAACTGTGTTACGAGTTTTGGAGTCGCCTTAAATAGGCGCGGGCCATAGGGTAAGCATGACAAGCGTTTGTTATACCCCGCTTGTATTCGATTCAATTTGTACCGTTCGTTCCGTCGATAGCACATCTATAAAAAGTTCGGGAATCGATTCACAATCCGATTGTTATACAAATAATAAATGCCTTTATGCTTTTCAGTTTGCTGATAAAACGCGGGATGTTAAAGTGTGAATAATTAACGATTGTAAAGACAACAGGTCATTTCAAATATTAAGTATTACGATACTATTTGAACTAAATAACTTGTAGATACATATCTGTATTTGATGTCGTTTTCTATTTCACAACTTTTGGTTCCATGAATAATAAAAGTGAGAAAATAAATGCGAAAACTAAGAATCAATACAAACACACTTATATTGTTATACCTAAATAAATATTAGATATTGAAATGATATCGCTAACCGAATAAGCTTCAATAAGAAAACTCAGTGTTTGTACTGAATGAATAATTTCCTTTTGTTTTCTCATAGGAGTCGATTTAGTAATAAGGTAATTCCCGTGTAAGTATGAGCGGGCGAGCTTAACTTGCGCTCCGGTTCTGAATCCGGATGCGAGTCGAGCAAGGCGTGCCGGAATACACCCACCACATTTCCGTATTTAAATTGCGTGGATCTTCGCGAACATGTTTTAGTTAAGTGAGAAAGCCACAGTGACTTGCGACTGTACGTTTCTCATAATAATGTACACACAAATTACTTTTGTTCAACTTACATCATATCAGTGTGTTCCCGAAATAAAATCCTATTTCAATAAGTAGGTAATAAGCTTAACTTGAAAATCTTTGGCTAAAGCTTCTTATAGAAAAAGGGCAGCAGCAAAAAGGCAGTTGAACCCGCTATTTTTCTTTCAGAATTTCAACCGGTAACCTTTCTAAATGGACTCTTATCGTCTTAATGTTGAAAGTATAACCAACCACTTATCAGGTTTTCAGTAACCGTTGAAGGGGTACAATAAAATTCAATATCGTGGTTTAACTTTTGACTCGACGGAACTTGGCAAAAAACGCTAAAAGCCATTTCACTGCAGTTTTTCCCCGAAATGGTTGATAATTCTATTTCACCGCTATCCCGGAGAGTGCTGTGAGGTGAAATTATAAAGTACTATCTTCTGATAAAGTGACTTTTTGATGTTGTTTGTCGGTTCAAGTTACGGGGGAATCTGTGAAAGTTAGTTTTACAATAACTGTAATATACACTGCATCTGAGATGGTGTCTAGATAGTTTTTGGAATAAATTGTTAAATATAAAATGGATCATGAATTCACTTACACACGTTAATTTGGTCTCACTATACAGCATTTAAATTCACATGTTGATGTTATTGCTAAACGTACGTGCCTTTAGTTTAATAATTATCACATTAAATATTATAGTCCTACTAAAATTATAAATTTGAAAGAGTGTCAGAATGTATGGATGCATTTTTATTACTCTTTCATAAAAAACCGGCTGGACCGATTTGGTTGTCATTTGGTTTGTAGAAGGATAGGTGATGCCGTGGATTAACTAACAACCACCATAGGCTGCTTTTTATTCAAAATTATTAGGTATAAAGTGGCCTCTGACCATAGCCCTTATAAGAAGCTCGAGGTCGCTTAACACTATATGGAACATAATAAGCTTGATGTGTCAAATCAGAATTGAGACTACCAGCAAACGAAAAATTCTACATATTCCAGCTGAAGTGGCAGTGGTCAGGCCACATAGCTTGGGAAAACGACGGCTACTGGGGTAGGAAGGTTCTCGAATGGAGGCCACGCTACGGCAAACGCAGCGTAAGAAGTCCATCTACAAAATGGACGAACTACCTAATTAAGGTTACGGGGAGCCACTGAAAGCAGCAGTAATAATTGAATACCTTGTGATTGTGACTGATGCGATGATGTTACTATCTACTGTATCAGTCTAGAAAATCTCTGTTAAAAACATGTTGTAATATAAAACCAGCTCCCATTAATTACAAATATTTCCAAACAACGAAAAATATGGCATATTTACCAACCCAATACTAACAAGTTTTTAGTGTGTGTCGACACAAATGGGTTGGCTTGACCGGAGTGATACCACGGCCTCACAGAAAACCGGCGTGAAACAGGCACAGCGTTTTGTCTCGCGGTGTGAGTGAGGTTACCGGAGGCCCAATTCTTCCCCTTCCCCAATCCCTCCCCAGTACCTAAATCTCCAAATCCCTAATCCCTAAAAGGTCAGCAATACTCTCGTAGCTCCTCCGTTGCGGATGTCCATGGGCGGCGCTGATTGCTTACCATCAGGTAATCCGTCTGCTCGTTTGCCGATCTGTTACATAAAAAAAAACAAATGAAAAAAAGCTTAAAAATAATGTAAATGTATTTTCCAAGCATGTTTCGTAGTCAACGTGCATGCATTACTTAACTTTATTAGCAAAATATTGGTGCGCTCTAGCGTCAAAGAGCGAGCGTAGATTAACTCGACTAAATACATACTATAATGTCTGCCTTTGGTGCTTCGAAGGTTTCAAGGGTTCTCGGGTTCGATTCCTGTTTTGGGTAAGGTGTTTTAAGTATTTGCGCTTTCTGGAAACTTGAAGCGAGACTTGAATAATGCTTGGTATTTGGCAATACGATTAACCACCTCTTTATGACAAAACAACTAAACGTGAATAAACATATAAAAGAAAAATAGTTTAAATGTATGTGTACATTGTGATTTGATGAAATGATTTTCATACAAATTACAGTTTTAGAATAAGTATCTAGTTATTTTTTTACTTAAACATGAAACAATTAATAACAATTTTGACATAGCGATACACAAAAATAAACTGAAATCTGAGAAAAATTCTTTTATAAACTTTGTAACTTATTTTTCCAACGTATCATTTGGAATTTGGATATTTTTTACAAGGAACCTGTACAAAGCCTAAAGTACCATCTCGTAGTTGGTATCCATCTTAAGCCCTACACTAGTTTGGGCATTCTTTATTCTCTGTGTGTCCACGTCTCGAGTATTGCTTTTGTCCAACGTGTCAAGAGCACTCTCCACCTACAACATTCGTTACACTTTAACATTCAATGAAATTGCGTTTTTCTTACGTCAACCTTCAGTGAAATAGAATAAAGAACTAATTTGTAATTGAAATACTCGCTCGTAGTCATCAAGTTACGAAAATATTGACGCAATTCAGTAGATGGAACGTTGGAGAACACTGTTATTTTTAGATAAAAGGCGTAAAGCCTTGATTTCTTTGTTAACAACATGTTTTCTTATTTGTTTTCATGTTTTGGTAAATTCTATTTATTGCTTTCGTAATAATGTGTGATGATTTGGTTATTCGTTTGAAGAAATAATGAATATTTTAATAGTCTTTTTATTTTTTTAAAATAGGATGATTGCCAACCATTGTGCACATTATTGCATTGTGATTAATGCCATGTTAATGTGAACATCTTTATATCGATCTATGTAACAGTTCTTTAGCTAAGCCAGAATTTAATTAGTCCCAAAAAATATTAATAATTATTATCATGGCTCATATCGTGGCCGTTATGGGTAACGTCTTAAGGTTCTTTTTATGTGATGATGATGATGACCTGATAGTAAGCAATCGGCGTCGTCATTCGTCGCTATTGACGCCGGCAACACGGCATTTGAAGATTAGGGTTTTGGAGATTTAGCGATTGTGGAGGAATGGGGCTAGGAAATGAATTAGACCAAAGAGGTTACCACTTTCACAAGGCGAAACGCAAAACTGTCATTGTTTACGCTGGATTTCTGTGAAGCCGTGATATCAATCCAGTCGAGCCGACCCATTCGTACCGAAGCTTGGATCTCCCACACTAAAAAGGATATAGGTATACAAAAAGAATGTCTATTTCTTTTAATCTAATTAAGTAAATATACTTTTCAGTGAGGAGAATATAGAGAAAAACACAGCAATCCTAATTGAAATTCAAGTAGACACTTAATCAACCTATTTACGTGAAAGAAAACATCCCTATTTCGGCCCTTGTATCTCAATTTCGTACAAACGACACTTTAGTGGTGTAGAATAGCGTAGGTAGAGAATTCAATGGACATGCCCACATAATGTATTTGTATGTTGTGAAGTGCCGTCAATTCAGGCTAAAAAAGGTCAATGGCTACTTGAGTACGTACTCAGTTCGAGAGCTGAACCGTTTCCGTTTATCGATTAAATTTTACACAAACCCTTTAAAGTCAGTCATTTTATCTGGAACGAGATGTATATAACTCGGTCAGCTTCGTATTTCATGGTAGCCGGTATGAAAATATAGCCGCGAGAGAAATTATATTGATATAATGATCCTTGCATTTTATATTTTTATTTTATATTTCTTACTAGGTACTTTCACGCGACTTCACCCGCTACTTGGCTCAATTTGATTGTAGCGTGATGTTTTACAGCACTCAGGAACATTGTAGCAATCAGAGAAAGAATTTTTGCAATCCGACCAGCGGTTCCAAAGAATACCCCCTACATACAAACTTACAAATTTTACCTCTTTATATTATTAGTATAGATGTATATTATTGATATACATTTTCTAATTATTTATATCAAAAAAACTGTTTAATATATCAAAATAATGAGGATAAACATTATTACCCTATTTTTAAACGTATTTAGGATAATATTTCTCTTTATAGAAAGCAAATAGAATTATTTTCCAGTTTATATTATTAGTCAGGAATTTGGTCTAATTTTGTTTAAATGAACTCGTACAATGAAAATACCTGTACAACATGAACACATAAAGCATTGTTTCCACTTACGCCGGTTTCAATTTCAGGGATTGAAGAAGCTTAATCAACTGGCTTACATGGAATAGGACTTAAATGTTTTAAAATGTAACTTACTTAATATATATAAAGTTTACCTTATATCGAAAGATACCTATAGATTCATATCATATAATATTGATATGTATTTTGAACATATATTTTACAATAAATACCTCGTGAGCGTGGTAATCAATCTTATGCTGGTATTAGCCTTGACAATATCGCTTTTGAATTTAATAATAATTATTGTTGTTATAAAATAAATTTGTACGTATTTATGTTTTTCTGTGTGTGGGCACGTATAATGTCGACTTTAAAGGTCATATTGCCTTGTCAAATTTGTGACTGCCGCAATGAACTTCAACGAAAACTGCTTTGCGCGACTTGGGAGCCTTATCCTAATGTTTACCTAGACAGTGTGACTAGACTACGGGGAACATTCTAGAAATCTTTTACATACCGTTGCCTGTTTAGAATCCTAATTCTTCCAATAATTTTTGAGTAGGTAGATGTTGTTATTGTTAGGGCGATAGATGACTTAATAAAGGATGCAGGAAGCAGCCGGATACAGTTACTTTACAAAAGTGGACTATGATAAACAATGAAATGGTATTTCTTACTAATGTCAAAAATCTATTTCTGTTTTTACAATTTTAAATGCCAATCTTAATTTGCAATAGAGTAGTATAGCATTGTATTCGAGCGTGTCGCAATTCTTTCAAAATGTAAGCAAACGCCAAGCAAATGTTTTGAATCATGAATGCATATGTACCGCCTGCAGGGGAGAGGTAACTGGTGCAGTTTTTGTATAATAGCAGATCACGCTATAAAACCAGTGCAAGTTGAGCTGGGATTTTTAAGACACGTTATATGTTTAGAGGTCTTTATATAATGGAAAAGTGTATTGTGATGTGCTGTACATGAGCATCCTAGTAACGAAGAGGTGGAACGCACAATGTTCTTTTGTGTTGATGTTCCCTACATTTTGTATGGTTGCTCACTGAGTATAATAATATTGCAAGGAAGTACTGACGCGTTCCTAATTGACTTTCCTTTGGATGTTAGTTAGCTAGTGAAGAGGGTACTTTTTATTTTTATATTCTTACGTGCTTGTTAAGAAAATTATTTAGAAAAGTTCTTAATTAGGTTGTAAAGTTTTTAGATTTGGATACATAATAGGTCTTTACCTATGAAATTGCCGTACTGGCCATTGTACTGGCTATTTCAAATCAAAATAGTTTTTGTTAGGCTAAGGCTAATTTTTTTTAAAAACATGGTATTCTTTTTTCTTTTGTCATAAACAAAAGTTCTTGGTAGACACGGTGTTCCCATATTCAAGAAACATTTCAAAAATGCTCCGGGATTAAAACTAGGTACATCAAGCAACAATCAAAAGTGCATTTTATTTCTATATCGGTACTTAAGTATTAAATAATATACCTACTTAAGTTTTAAATAACTGCTTGCAATGTGCAATTGTGATCTCAAACGATCGTTACTTTTGTCTAAGTCCTTTGTTTTAATGTAGGACTGGAAATACTGGAATAGACTGGCTTGCCACGCTCCGTAAAGTCAATGTTTTGTTGTTTTAAATGGAAATATTGTTAAACTCACTTACATTTTTACTAGAAAAGGTTCAAAAAGTAATGAAACGTAGTAACTCTTACATTTAGTTTGTTCTGTACTCTCATTGCCATAAAAATCCGTGGTTTATTATGACAGTTATACCTACTTACTGTCGTGATGGCCGTTCTCATGCATGAGGGTGTAGGTTCAAAACCTGGTAAGTACCAATGTGACTTCTTCCAATGTGAGTTATATGTACATTCTATGGTTATTTTGACACCACTGACATACGGTGAAAGTAAACATCGTGAGGAAACCTGGACTTATAATTTCTAATTATAAGTTTGAAATCGCCAACCCGCATTGAGCAAGCGTGGTGATTAATGATCTAACCTTCTCCGTATGAGAAGAGGCAATTGCTCAGCAGTGGGCACTTATAGGCTGATGATGATGATGATGACCTACTTACTTATAACTTCAAAGGTAAGTCACTAGAAGTGAAGGTAAATGTACGAAGTAATAAAACTCAAACATTCAAAACTTATACCTACCTATGCTACAAATAAATATGATTTATTTACTCAGTGCTTGAAATTATCATCATAAGCTAAATAAGTTTTAGCTGGTACTAGGCTTTTTTGTGAGGGGAATATCATCAAATGACTTCTCCCGCCCACGGCCGGGCGGGAGGGAGTGTCAGACTGATGAATTAAACGACGATTTGAAAGATATAAATAGTTTTATTTAGTAGCTTGAGAATTTACAACATGTTTGTATGGATGCGTATTGCAAAGAGAGAGATGACAAGCGCAAAAGGCACAGAGTATAGAACGGTGGTCATAGACCATTTCATATTATCTATGCTACACTATAGTAGTCGAAAAAGGCGACAAATTTAAAACATGTAACACTCCCTCTAAATTTTAGCCTTGTTCTACTAACTTTACATACATAGAGAAACATATTTTGTGCATACTGCCATCTTATCACAATATTATATTGGGTACATATTAATCAAATGATTACAGTATGTATTAAACCCAATACAAAACTTTAAACTAAATCAACAGAGCTTCAAGCATAACAACTGAATTGCAAACATAAATGAACTGAAATATAAAAGACAAATATTCTTAGGTTTTACATTCCTTTGGGTTCTCAATTAAACCTAACTTATTTCTAAAGTACTCAAATTTAACTTTAGACAAAGGTTTAGTAAAGATATCAGCTAACTGTTTATCAGTACTAATATACTTGAGATCAATTATCTTTTCAGTATACTTTTCTTTTACAAAATTATATTTCACATCAATATGTTTACATCTTTTGTGATATTCAGAATTTTTAATCACACATATAGCACTCTGATTATCAATATTTAGTGTAATACAATCTTGATTATAATGACCTATATCTAACAATAACTGTCTAACCCAGAGAGCTTCTTTGGTGGCACAGCATGACGCCATAAACTCTGCTTCAGTGGTGGACAACGCGACAGTCGTTTGAAGGTGACTGTTCCATGTCACTGCTGCCCCGTTCTTCATAAAAACATATCCAGTGGTAGATCGTCTTGTCACAGGATCATTGGCATAATCAGCATCAGAATAGGATACCAGAGTGTTACTTTCATTTGACCTGTAACAGAGTCCAAAACACAGTGTCCCTTTTAAGTACTTCAAGATTCTCTTGACAGCATTCCAGTGACTTTGATCATGGCTGTTGAGATACCGGCTCACAGTGCTTACTGCATACATAATGTCTGGTCTGGTGACTATAGCAGCAAACATAAGCGATCCCACTGCCTCTCTGTAAGGAAAATATTTTTTATCCTCAAGCACTGTGCTTTTCTGTAAAGTAACATGCGGATCAGCTGGTATACTATTAGGGTTAGCATTATCTAAGTTAAATTTTGATAACATTTTCTCAATATATTTTCTTTGGTGTATGAAAATGTAATCCTTACATTGTTCTATCTGTATACCAATAAAATTCAAAGCTTCACAAATCTTAACATTAAATTCTTTCTGAAGATCATTCAGGACTTCAGTTATTATTGTTGGATTTGTAGAACATAACAATCCATCATCCACATAAAGCAAAAGATATTCTAGAGCTTCTCTATTAGAACTCACATACACACATTTATCAGCGTGACAGTTCACAAAGCCATATTTAATTAAAACTGAATTAAATTTAGCATTCCAACAGCGTGGTGCCTGTTTCAATCCATATAAGGATTTGATAAGCTTGCAAGCCATGCCATTTTCAACATTCAATCCTTCAGGGATTTTCATGTATATTTTCTCTTGCAATTCACCATACAGGAAAGCAGTTTTAATATCAAATTGCTTTAAAGTCATGCATTTCTCGGCTGCAATAGACAATAATAAGCGAATGGAGTCATACCTGACCGTCGGAGAGAATGTTTCTGTGTAATCGAT